TTGTTGAACCTCATACAACTGGCCTCGGCCCATCAATCCAGTGAAAATATGAAAAACATGAAAATATGTTTTAGTAAAGATGCCTTTCATGACAACTATGCAACTTCTGTGCGTCTTTCAGGACTGTCTTATACCTCTCTTCAATGATGCTTTGAGGTCATGCAAACAACATGATGTAAGGCCATGGATGCATGCACTGAGGTACACAGTGTATCAGAATCAATTGATGGAAAAACTTAAAGGTATGTAAGCTCTCATCTTAGTGTTATGAAAGGTAAATGCAGAATTTGAACATAAAACTGCTGAAAGCAGCAGCTGTGTCTTTTTCTATTACTTAGATGGATTACTTTTTAAAAGCCAAGTTTTGGTTATTTAGGTGTCTTGCTTTACAAGTAGGGGTCTCAATTACTACTGTAATATAGACAGTGTTGAAAAAATTTATTGTGAAATGCTTAGCAGTTCTGTACTCACTCTTCTAATTGCACTTGCTCATCTCTTCATACTTAAATGCTTTCACTTTTGAACACTTCAACACTATCAATAAAGGGTCTTTAAAAACAGTCACGAAAGCAATTTAAATGTGCAGTATGGTAAGAGGTAATGGGAGAAAAGCTGTATCAGGAGACAAGCAGATTTCTTAACTAAGAAAAATGCTTGCTGTGAAAAAATTACTCTTGCACAGCAGATAATCTGGATATATCTTTTTTGTTTCAGATGGGTTATATAAATATTCTAGGCAGAAATGAAGTCATCTAAATTTCTGAAGGAGGTGTTAGGAAATATGAAAGGGCTGAGCAACTTTTTACTGATGGCCATGTACAGAATACATTTGGCAGAAGTTATCTATATAACTCAAGTGCAATTATTATTTGTTTAATAATTTTGTTTACAATGTCTTGCTTCTTCAGAACCAACAGTCCCAATTAAAAGCCATCTAATGGAGCTGGGCTTAACAGCAGCAAAATTTGCACGGAAGCGAGGAAATATTGCCCTAGCTACACGACTGCTTGCCCAGTGCAGTGAAGTTCAGCTAGGAAAAACCACCACTGCACAAGACTTAGTCCAGCACTTCAAAAAATTGTCTGCACCAGGTCAGATAGATGAAAAATGGGGTCCTGAACTTGATATCGAGAAAACAAAGTTGTTATACACAGCAGGTGAGTATTTGCTAATTATGTTGTAGATACTTGAGCTTCTTGTCTTTATAACCAGGCTAATTCCCCTGACCTTGAAGAAATTGTAATAGGACAGTGCCATTAGGAATTGATTTCATCCTACTAACTGTTTCAGTCTGAAAGTGTTTTCACAAGTCTTTTCTTACTTGTCACTTTAACTTCAAAAGAGAACTTGCTTTGTAAAAATCTATTGTTACAAGCTGTATCTGAATATGCTGAATTTCAGAAGAAGTGTTTTGAATAAAGTTAACACTCTACTGAAGATATGCTTTTCATGATATGTAGGTCAGTCAACACATGCCATGGAAATGCTGAGTTCCTGTGCCATATCCTTTTGCAAATCTGCCAAAGCTGAATATGCAGTTGCTAAATCTATTCTCACACTGGCTAAATGGATTCAAGCAGAATGGAAAGAGATTTCAGGACAGTTGAAACAAGTATATAGAGCTCGACAGCAGCAGAATCACACTGGACTGTCAACCTTGTCTAAAAACATATATAATTTGATTGATCTCCCAGCTGTTAATACACTAGAAGAAGAATATCCTAGGATTGAAAGTGAATCTACAGGTATATTTGTTCTCCTTCTTATTAATTTTTTATTAAATTAGTTACTGATGATTCCACTGAGGGATAGCACCAGTTATTTTGATAAAGACTAAGTGCTCCATCACTCATGTATTTGTTTTCCTAATACCCATATAAACAGTGTGTGGTTTGTGTAATAGGTAACTATAAACAGCTAAAAAATCCAAACACCTTAGTATTGCTATTTCATATTTCTTTCACATTTTTCTCATTCAAGTGATATTGGCCTGAAGAAGAAACTGGAATGCATTTATTTTATGAGGAGGATATCAAATTTTGTCATGCTTTTGTCTGCTTTCAGCTCCTGTATTTGCTAAAGTTTGAATGAGATCATTCAGATTAACCATCAACAGGATTGATATTTTGAATGCCCTGATAAGTGTGAGGAGCAGTTACCTCAGGTTTTCTCGTGATCTTTAGTCTGTACTTAATTTGAACACTTCTGTTGTTGCAACAAAATGTACTCTATTTCCCAGGTTTTGGCAGACTTTCTTCAAATGCCACGATAAAATTTTTTCTTTGCTTAAACATGGATTTCATAAATTAGTTCCTCTCTTGCAGAATCAGAATTATTTTAGAGCTGTTAATGGATGTAAGTAGTAGGTGCTTTCTGACTTGATGGTGAAGAAAATAAATATATATACAAATAAACACAAACACACTGCCCTAGGTACTTCATAAAAGTCTGCTCTTTGAAGTGTCTTGCTCTTTTGGAGATCGTGAGTTTCTTGCCTCAGTTCCAGCTTTCTGTGAAAGAGGAAGCATTTGTAGAGTATAGGCAGTGGTTGTTACCAAATGAAAAACTGGTCTTTGTTTTGCAGCCAGTGTCAGAACTGAAAAATCATTGCATTTCGGAAAATCTTGGGTACTAACTTGACCAAAAAAAAAATACTATGTACTTACAATGTTTTGATGTTATTTTCTATGTTAAGAAAATTAGAAGTAGGCTTTACATCATAACATATATTGCTCTATTTCTCCCATCACAGTGAATATTGGAGTTGGAGAGCCTGACTTCATCTTGGGACAGCTGTATCACTTGTCTTCAGTACAGGCACCTGAAGTAGCCAAGTCTTGGGCAGCCCTGGCTAGTTGGGCTTATAGATGGGGCCGGAAAGTAGTTGATAATGCCAGGTAAATTCATCCTAATGTTTAAATTTATACTTCATTATTAGTTTTCTTAAGGTAAACCCTAGCTTTGTATTTATTATTACTGTTCTTTGTGGTCTGAAGTTGCATGTGAACAGAGAACTGAATATTCTCTTGATTACTTGCCCTCTGTAAAAAGAAGCGAGTTTAATTCTGAGAAAAGTATGAAGATTTCTTCCTTCAAGAAGTTTTATACATACAGTCTTAACAGGTTCAGTAGCTCTACAAATACTAATATATTGGGGATGAGTAATTCATTAAATGTTACAGTCAGGGAGAAGGTGTTCGTCTGCTGCCCCGGGAAAAATCTGAGGTTCAGAACTTGCTTCCAGACAACATTGCGGAGGAAGATAAAGAGAAAATCTATGGGATTCTTGGGCAGGCAGTGTGTCGTCCAGCTGGGATTCAAGTAAGTGTAAATTTGCTTGCTTAAAAAATGTTCAACTTCAGCGTGAAGCTTAGTTTTCCTCTACTTGTGATTCGTATTAACTCTTGTAAATGTTTTAAAGTTAAAATTCAGATGATACAAGAGTTCTCTAAGAAACTGTCTGTTAGCTAAGTGGTAACACATCTGTTCTATGGACTATGGTAGTATGATCAAGTAATGCAGTTGCGTGAGTTGCCTAGACAAAAACTGGATTAGGAGCTAGTATTGCTTGTAGAAATGGTTGGAGGACTTAATCAAATCTGTTTTCTCTTTATTTGCATTTAGGATGAAGATATGACTCTACAAATCACTGAAAATGAAGACAATGAAGAAGACGATATGGTGGATGTTATATGGCGTCAGTTATTAACAAGTTGTCCCTGGCTTTCAGATCTTGATGAAAATGCAACAGAAGGGTTAATTAAAGTGTGGAGGAAAGTTGTAGACAGAATCTTCAGTCTCTATAAACTCTCCTGCAGTGCATACTTTACTTTCCTCAAACTCAATGCTGGTCAGGTTAGTGTTTGTGCTGATGAGGAAATCCAGTTACAAACTTTTCTAAATGATGATATGAACGATATACTTAGCTTAGAGGAATATTTCTTTTTCTTTCAAGGTTCCACTTGATGAAGATGATCCCAGGCTGCACTTAAGAAATACTTCTGAGCAAAGCACTGATGATGTTATTGTGATGGCAACCCTAAGACTGTTACGATTGCTTGTGAAACATGCTGGAGAACTTAGACAGTATCTAGAGCATGGGCTAGAAACTACACCTACTGCTCCTTGGAGAGGTAAGTAGATGTTATCTAGTTGTTAAAATTCATTTTGACACATTTTCTCTAAATGCAAGCAGAAAAGTATTATTGCACTTCCATAAAATTTTTATTTAAGCATGACAGAGAGCTTGTCTTATTAAATAATTTCATTAAAGGTGTTCAAGTCTGCCATGCATTCTGATCTTAGAATAGACAAGTAGCACAGATTCTGATCCCCTCCATCCCCTGCCTTAAGACATTGAAAGGAGATGTAGTTTGTGAAGTCTCTGACAGTCCACCCCCCCCCCCCCCATTTTTTTTTTTTTATAAAAAAAAAAAAAAAAGGCGGGGGGGGGGTGGGTGTTTTCCTAGCTACAGTTTGAAATGCAGTTCAGAGAAAGATGTGTGGCTAAAGCCAGATGTCTCAGAAGTAGTTGTTTGTCACTACGCTGCTGGTTCTCATTGCTCAGGGACTTTCCCACAAACGGTTATTGAGTTAAAGTCTGGAAGGCAGCAGAAGAGGAGGCCAACTATAGAAAAATTGTGCTTTCTTTTGAAACATCCAGTTATGCTAACTTCAGGAACTATTACTGTGATTCTTCTTACTTTTGAAAAATGATATAACAGATATAATGTGCAAAAGTCAATTTGAGTGCTTGACTAAAGGACGTATGTGTTGCACCTGATGTTATCTGTATTTGAATAGAAGAAGAAAATAAGCTATTGCCTGTACTGTGAAAGGCAGTTATTTAAAAGATGTTTTTATTGGGAAACTAGACATTTACGTTCTCCCAATGCAAAGCCAGCATGCTTCTAAAAATAAAATAAAATTCTGCATCATTTGAAGTGAAATGAAATGAATCGGACCATTTTCTTTTCCTGTTTATGAAGGTATTATACCTCAGCTTTTCTCCCGCCTGAATCACCCAGAAGTGTATGTTCGTCAGAGTATTTGCAACTTACTGTGTCGAGTGGCTCAAGATTCTCCTCATCTCATACTATATCCTGCAATAGTGGGTACCATTTCACTTAGCAGTGAATCCCAGACTTCAGGTATGGAGGAAAAAATAAATGTTCAAATACACTTTAGCTAATATATTTATATATACTGGATAAAATAATACTGAGGGTTTTTTCTTTTTTCAGTAACTCTGATACTTTCTATCTTAAGAATATTTTTATTATGGGACCTCACTGATACCTTTCATTTGATTTACCAGTTTGGCAAATAAGTTGGTTTTTTTTTCCAGTTTGATCATATACTTTGCCAGTACTTAATGTAATATGGGGACCTCATGCTAAATTGAGTGATGTGTCTTTCAAGGCCAGAACAGTGTAGCTAATATTTTAATATCTGGTTTTAATTTAGGAAACAAGCTGCCTTCTGCCATCCCTACTTTGCTAGGTAATATTCAAGGAGAAGAACTGTTGGGTGGTGAATGTGATGGAGGGAGCCCCCCAGCTTCTCAAGAAAGTAGTAAAGATGACACAAAAGTTGGATTAAATGAAGATCAAGCAATGATGCAAGATTGTTACAGCAAAATTGTGGAGAAACTCTCTGCTGCAAATCCAACAATGGTATTGCAGGTAAATAATCCAAATGTATGTTACTTGTGGTTTTATTTGCACCACAAAATACGTAATTTGTATATCTTGTGGGTAGGCCTACTGAAAGTTTGGTGCATATTTGCTGTTAGGCTGTCATCTTTCTTCAAGTTGTTCATCTACAAGGATAAGTAGTACTAGTACTACTTATACTAGTACCCTTAAAAATAAGTGAATCTTATTTTATACAGGTTCAGATGCTAGTGGCTGAGCTGCGCAGAGTTACAGTTCTTTGGGATGAACTGTGGTTGGGAGTTCTAGTGCAGCAGCACATGTATGTCCTCAGAAGGATTCAACAACTGGAAGATGAAGTCAAGAGGGTCCAAAACAACAACACTTTACGGAAGTATGTCTTTTTTGAATAACTCAACTGATAATCATAACAAATGTTTGTTCTTGGGGAAGCATGCAGTCAAACCAATCAACAGTGTTGTTGCTGCTGAATTTGTACTACCCTAGCTGCTTCTTTGTAAGCCAGTGACCTTATTTCAAGAACATTTTGATGCTACAGCTAGTACTCTAATCAAATGAGAAACAACAACAGTCTACCTGTGAATCCATGTTGGGATTTCATTAGTAATTATGTGTTAGAACCCAATGCATATTAAGCTGTGGATTATGAGATCCTATAGTTCTTCACTCCAAGGTCCTTCTTACAAGTCAGCTGAATGAGAACAAGCATGTTGAAGGATGTAATCTATTTGGAGTCTACTGTAAATACAGATATTTGGAGTAAAGAGAACATCTTAATCTACTTTTAGTTTTCAGTGTTCAGCAAGTCTCTCTCACCTGGGTTCTCCTGTGAATGGATTTGTGGAAGAGGAAAGCCATTCACTGGGAACCCGGCTAAGCTTAAGAATACCTTTTAAGTTTTATAGTCAGGCTTGACATGGAATGGGAGAACAGCCTGATCTGAATTGCACTCTTCCCCTTCTTTATAGTGTGGTACACCATCAGGAAGTAGTAGTTAGAAGCTCTTTTATTAAACGAAATAGTTGCTTAGGGTGGTTTGAGTTCTCTGAGCTTCTCCTCAGGGTTTCCAGTGGTGAAGAGCCCAGTTGAAATGTTTCAGTTTTAAAAAAAAAAAAGTGTGATTCAGAGGAACATGCATTCAGTGCAGCATGAAATACTCTTCCTTTTAATACGGTCGTCCTTGAAGACCTCATTTTAGAGATGTAGCCATTTTTGTGAATTTTTAGATGTCTCATTTGCAGTCTTATTTTAATGCTCTGCGTATGAAGTAACCTGGTTTTATAGAGGTAAGAGGAAATTTGTTTTTTTTAATAGGGAGGAGAAGATAGCAATCATGCGTGAAAAGCATACAGCTCTAATGAAGCCCATTGTATTTGCTTTGGAACATGTACGGAGCATCACTGCAGCTCCTGCAGAAACTCCTCATGAGAAATGGTTTCAGGATAACTATGGAGATGCAATTGAAAATGCACTAGAGAAACTTAAGAATCCTTTGAATCCTGCTAAACCTGGAAGCAGCTGGCTCCCATTTAAAGAGGTATTATATGCACAGACTAAGAGTACAATGTAGAGACTCTTGACACTCTTGCTGGACTGTGTGTTTGACTCCTCTCCTTAGTATTCTCTTGCCATATCAAAATTGCAGCCTGAAACTTTGTCTTCTCTGCAATCACCGCAGGCATGCTAGAACTAAAGCAAAGTAATTGTTGCCTCCGTAACAAGTCTTACTGACTGTCTGCATTATTGCATTTCTACTCAATGAAATTATTTTTTTCACATCTTGCATCTTCTGCTGTCTGAGATCCTGTCAGTTTTGGGGGCAGAGGACTTTAATTTTTTTTAAGTACTGTCTTTCTGAAACTCTATGCCATTTGAATTTAGTGAATTTAAATTCTAACAAGTTGGTACTTGGGTTAGCTAAGTGTAGTCCTCGGGCTGTGCAGCAACCTTCAAATGATTGACCCTTCCCAAATATACTCTGTTTTTCAATTATGTGATTTTATTAGGTTTTTTTATGGGTCTGAGGAAAAACAAAATATGTATTCACTCAGATATCCAGAGCCAACCTGGTGGTTTTTAAAAGTCTTGATAGACAGAACCTAGGTTTTACACACAAATAGGCTTTTTTTTTTTTTTGTAGTTCCCCTTCTGCTTTGCAGAACAAGCAGGCATGCAGATACGTAAACAGGAGATTGCTGAATGCTGCTGCTTTTGACCACAGCTCAAATATTTACAAATGCAGGAGCAAACCTCCTGAGCAGTTTAATTTGTTGTGACTTTGGTGCCTATCACCAGGCAGGGTATATTTGCTGCATAAAGTATATTTTTTAGATTTTGTCCTCTTCATCCTAAGCTATAAAATGAATTAGTACGGTGGCAAGGATGAAAGGTAGTTTAAGAAAAATCTCCGTGCTTTCTGGAAGATGACCTCCATTAAGTCCGTTTTGGTGTTTGGTTTCTTTTTTTAATGCTAGCTGTTAAGGTGAACCTCAACCTAAACAAAAAAATTTCTTTGGAATAGGTTATGCTAAGTTTGCAGCAAAGAGCACAGAAACGGGCTAGTTACCTTTTACGTCTTGAAGAAATCAGCCCTTGGTTGGCTGCCATGATGAGCACTGAAATAGCACTTCCTGGAGAAGTATCTACTAGAGACACAGTCACAATTCATAGTGTGGGCAGCACCATCACAATTCTGCCTACCAAAACCAAACCTAAAAAGCTGCTTTTCCTGGGTTCAGATGGGAAGAACTATCCCTATCTGTTCAAAGGTAAGAAATTGAAATTTTCTCATATGAGTTACTGTCTCTTGTTATAAGACTATATTGAAGTTGGGAAGATGCATGGTTGCCACTTTTGCTTTCTCTGCCTGCATGATATGGAGAAAGAGTTGTCTAGTACATCTGCTCCCTCTCCTCCCTACCTCCCACCTCACCATACATTTTCAAGGATTTTTGCTTTGTGAAGCCATAAGTCAGGGGTGTTTCAGATCCCTTCTTTATAAGGGTTACATCAGAAACAGTGTTCTGCTTGCATACTGATAGGGTTTAGCTGGATGTACTTTTCTGGAAGGTTAAGGTAGCACCCAGAAGAGAACTTTAAGAGACTTCGTGCCTTCCCTGAAAGGGAGATACCTATCTGTTATGTTAGTAATTCTTGTGTGTACTGCTCACAGACAGCTGTCATAAACTGGTGATTCTAGTATGTAAATGCTATGTAAACCTTTAGGTTTAGGCTGAACAACCCATCCTTAATCGGCATAATTTATAAAGCTATTCATAGTCTGAAATGAAGTAGGATTTCAAAAAATGCTAAGTTTGGGCTTTAAGGGAATAATTTTTTTTAATCTAGAAACTAAATTTTATACAAAATAAATTTATTGCAGGTTTAGAAGACTTGCATCTAGATGAAAGAATCATGCAATTCTTATCAATTGTGAACACAATGTTTGCCACAATTAACCGTCAAGAGACACCAAGGTTCCACGCGAGGCACTACTCTGTGACACCTCTGGGAACGAGATCGGGCTTGATCCAGTGGGTGGATGGAGCTACACCTTTGTTTGGTCTTTACAAGCGGTGGCAACAGCGAGAAGCTGCTTTACAAGCACAAAAGGTAACAACTGTGTTTTATGCCAGGTAGGACAATGCAGAAGGGAAACACATACTCTGATTTGCTTTCCGGTTCTAAATAACGTAGTCTTAAGTGGATTGTGTGTTGTTCATAATCATGCAAAATGGTTCTGTGTATTCATTTCTCTTGGGATTTCACCACATATCAATGAAATTGTATATATGTATTTACATATATTGCAGTATGTAACATAAATTTATTGTTCTAGCATGATAATTCAAGGGGAACTGGTTTTAAACAAATAGAGTTAACGTTAGTTAAAATTATTTTAGTTCCACATCTTATTCTCTCATTCTCATTTAATTTTAAATACAGTTTTGGTTTTGTTGGTTTTTTTTTTTTTTAAATTGACCTTGATAAGAGTAGAGTTAGGCTAAAGCAATGTGTTTTCAGTTTCTTTAGGTTTTCTTAACCATTGAGTTTTGAATTAAATTTCTGAGCTGTAAAAGCCATCCTCAGTAGAGAAGTTGATTTCACATTATTCTCACCAAAACTGAATTTGGGATACCATTTTCTGTGGTAATGAGAGTTGCAATATGTAAACTAGCATTTTTACCTCTTCTAGGCTCAGGACTCTTACCAGACTCCTCAGAATCCTGGAATAGTGCCTAGACCCAGTGAGCTTTACTACAGTAAAATTGGGCCCGCATTAAAGGCGGTTGGGCTTAGTCTTGACGTGTCACGTCGTGACTGGCCCTTGAATGTCATGAGGGCTGTTCTAGAAGAACTGATGGAAGCAACTCCCCCAAATCTTCTAGCTAAGGAGCTCTGGTCATCATGTACTACACCGGATGAATGGTGGAGAGTTACACAGGTGAGTTATAACAAATATGTTTTCCCTTTGAAAGGTTGTGTTTTTAATGGGATGAGGGGCAACAAATGCCTGGGATGTGTTCAAGCAATGATACTCCTGAGTTAGGTGAGCTGGGACTGCTGAAGTTCTGCATAACAGGAAATGTTAGCATTTGGCAGGAAATGATGCAGTTGTACCATCTGGAATAAAAAAAATGGGTATACACCTGATAACTCTACAGTATTAAACTAGAATTATCAGCCTAAGACATGAGAACTCTTGTAAGATACCATCAGACAACAAATAGAATACAGCTTGGAATAAGTTGGTTTTGATTTGTCTTACACTTAAAATGATGTTTTAAGATGGTAGTCAGTCCAATGTGTTGGCAGAGGATTCCCACAAATAATTTTTTCCTGAAACTCTCTTTAAAGTCGTATGCAAGATCCACTGCAGTTATGTCCATGGTTGGCTACATCATTGGTCTTGGAGACAGACATCTGGATAATGTTCTTATAGATATGACTACAGGAGAAGTTGTCCACATAGATTATAATGTTTGCTTTGAAAAAGGTAATTTAAAAAATGCTATATGTTATTCAAATGAAAGGTTTCCCTTCTTGGTAATTAAAAGAAACAACTTAATTTTTTATCTTAAAGGGAAAAGCCTTAGGGTACCAGAGAAGGTTCCGTTCCGGATGACGCACAATATTGAAACAGCACTTGGAGTGACAGGAGTAGAAGGGGTTTTCAGGCTTTCTTGTGAACAGGTAAGTTAGGAGACTTGCAGAAAACTGAGGGCTATCACTTGCCAAATAATACTATCTTAGAACTTTCCTATTGAACATTCTGGTGTTGATTTATAAAGCCTTCACCTTTCCTGCTGTGATTTTAATTGGACTTATTTTAGATACATCCTGTAGTAGGCATTTAAGAAATACGGGAATGTCAGATAAATACATGTGCAGGTAGTGGTACAACTACAGTTCCGGGGGGGGGGGAGACTTGTAGCTCTAGATGTAAAATGTTATGCTTTTCCTGAAGACTTTTTTTGTGAAGTTTTGCTTACCCTCTTTCTTCAGGACTGGTCTTTTATAAGCATGAGAGATACGTTTTTAAAACGTATCTCTGAACAAAGGAGAGTTTCCTTCCTCAAGTGCCTGTTGCTAGAGTATAGAGTTTGTGTGGAAGGCTAGAATGCAATCTTTAGTTTTAGTGATGTTACTGTAGGCTAGCTGCATTTGTACATACTGCGGTGTTCTTCCAGTATTTGTAGTGGTTAGGAATAAGTTATGGATTTCTGTACCTATTCAAGTACAGTATTTTGCATTTAAAATTCCACTGTTCTACAAGGAAATGCAAGATCAGAATAAGTCTGTTTAAAATATGATGCAGGTCCTTCATATTATGCGGCGTGGGAGAGAGACTTTGCTTACATTGCTTGAAGCTTTTGTTTATGATCCTCTGGTGGACTGGACAGCAGGAGGCGAAGCAGGATTTGCTGGAGCTGTCTATGGTGGTGGTGGCCAGCAGGCTGAAAACAAACAAAGCAAAAGAGAAATGGAAAGAGATATTACACGTAGTCTCTTTTCGTCAAGAGTGGCTGAGATAAAGGTGAGTTTACTACAATAATTTTCTATTTTGTAACCAAAGTAGGCCCTGTGCTTTCACTTCGTTTATTTGCATTTTGGGGGTGGTGGAAGAGGTGGTCGCTTAGTAGAAATAGTTCACAAATTTTATTGAGCTAAACCGAGTTGGTATTGAGGGAAGTGCTTATATGGAACTAGGAAGTATTTTATTTTCATTTTCTGTGTGCTTCATTCTAAAATATGCTTTAATGTTTCGCCTGAATCTGGGCTAGAGGAATAAAAATAGAGGTTTAGAGAGCAGTCTAAATAAAGAATGTCTGTTAAGGTTTAGCACTTATAGCACTGGAGGTAGTCCTAGATGAACAACATCATTGAAGGGCTAAGTGCTGCCATGTATTACTTTCTCTTACCTGTTTGAATTAAGTCCAGTTCTATAACATCTGTGTCTTGCTTATAGGTTAACTGGTTTAAGAACAGAGATGAAATGCTTGCTGTGCTGCCAAAATTGGACAGTAGTTTAGAAGAGTATCTGAACCTGCAAGAGCAGTTGACAGATGTAGAAAAGTTGCAAGGAAAACTGGTGGAGGAGATAGAATTTCTGGAAGGTGCAGAAGGAGTGGATCATCCTTCCCACACGCTTCAGCACAGGTACAGAGGAGCCAGGAATTCTGTCAGGAATCTTGCAGTTCAATACAGGTGGTGGTTTAGTAATGTACTTAAGAATTATATGGTAGAAATGGATATATGAAAGAGACTAATAGCTAGGTAAAAGCTATTCTTAGAGTAAGCAGGTCACTTATTGTAACAGAAGAGCTACTGAAACCATTTTCCTACTGAATAATCTTACTTATGTCCTATGCCTCATGCTCCATCAATACAACCTGTGCTAGTCCGTGTTCCACACTTGACCATCAAGGCAAGAGACTGAATGTGCTGAATGTGGTGTCCCATCAAATTAATCCACATAATATGCAGCTATTGATAAATAGCACAAAAATCTTTTCATTTAAGTTTGTAATTCTTTAACTTATTTTTCAAGTTTATTTGAAATAGATCAAGGACTTTAGAATTGTATGAATATGCACATGCATTCAGTATTTTGTAGGAAAAGAATTAATTATTAACACAATATTGTTGAAGTTTTATGTATTGGTGAGAATATGTTAATTTTCTGGTCAACAAGGTAGTTGTATTGTTCAATATGGTTTTGTATTCAATATAGTTAAGTATTTTTTTTTTTTGTAGTACTTACTTGTTCTGTGGCTTCAATAATTCAGGTATTCTGAGCACACACAGTTGCAGTCTCAACAAAGAGCTGTCCAGGAAGCAATCCAGGTGAAGCTGAATGAGTTTGAGCAGTGGATAACACATTACCAAACTGCTTTCAGTAATTTGGAGGCAACACAACTTGCAAGTCTTCTCCAAGAAATTAGCACGCAAATGGACCTAGGTATAAAATAGTATTTGTGGGGTTTTTTTAATGGTTTGAAAAGAACTAGAGTTTAATATCAGGAGGTATCCTCTAACTTAAAGGCAAGGACCTGCATATGATGAATGAAAAGGGGGTCCTTCGAAGGGTGATTTAGAGCACTTCAAGGTTTCTGTGCCAAGCTGTCTGAAGGAACTTGTCTGTCTTATCCTAGCTGGGCATGAGATTATTCTCTTACCTTGTGTTCAAAATTCTCAATATGAATTCTCCATGCCTCCTTTATCACAAGTAAAAGAATGTTTCTGAAAAGATGTTAATGCTCAGTATTTGTATGCTGTAAAACGTGTGCTTCAGAGATGCATCTTGATTTTTTAACCATCTTTCTTAAAAGGTCCTCCAAGTTATGTACCAGCAACAGCGTTCCTGCAAAATGCAGGCCAGGCACATCTTATTAGTCAGTGTGAACAACTGGAAGGAGAAGTTGGTGCCCTTCTCCAGCAGAGAAGGTCCGTGTTACGTGGTTGTCTTGAACAACTGCACAACTATGCAACAGTAGCTCTTCAGTATCCAAAAGCTGTGTTTCAGAAGCACCGAATAGAGCAGTGGAAAACCTGGATGGAAGAACTCATCTGTAACATGACAATTGAGCGTTGTCAGGATATCTTTAGGAAGTAAGTTGACAGAATAATGCATTGTTTGAAGAACTTAATTTTCAAGCTACTTCAGGATTTTAGTTTTCTAATTAAAATGAATACTTTTGCGAGGACTGATCTAATTATAAAGCAAGACATGATTAAGTTGTAATTCCAGAAGTTTGGACAAAAAGATTAAAAACTGCTTTAAAAGTACTATTCCAGAGCTTAATCTGTGTACTGCAAAAAGAAAACCAAGTAACACTCCCCTGTAATGAACAAATGAAGAACTGTGTTTGTGGCTTTAGGGTACTGATATTTAGGGGTTTTAGAAACTTCTAGTATTTAAGAATCACTCCAATCTACTAAAGATTTTTTTTTTAATTAAAGCAGATTTTCAAGCAATTATTTCTTTTTTTTTTTTTTTTTTCTTCTAAAGTCAGGCCACTTCAGCATTATTACCACTTGGCTTACAAGATCTAGATTATATTCAAGCATTTACACTGAAACCTGTTTCCTTCTTATTTCTTACCTTCTATTCATTCTTTGCTTCAAGGACTACTGATTATCTTCTGTCCTTGCAAATAGGTATGAAATATGGTGCATTCTAGGACTTTATGAAAGCGTCATTAGGGTAACCATCACCTGCTGTGGTATTTAGAGTTGATATGGAGTAGGTAATGTGGGAACTGTTCAAATGCAGAGTATTTTTCCTACCCACAGAGCAGAATGCAATTTCCTAGCACTTGAGAAGCGACAATTTTGTCATTGTACTGTTGCTTTACAGGTATGAAATCCAATATGCTCCTCAACCACCTCCAAGTATGTGTCAGTTCATAACTGCTACAGAAATGACTCTACAGCGCTATGCAGCAGATATAAATAACAGACTTATCAGGCAGGTGGAGCGTTTGAAACAGGAGGCAGTTACTGTACCTGTTTGTGAAGAGCAGCTGAAAGAAATTGAACGTTGCATAAAAGTTTTCCTTCATGAAAATGGAGAGGAGGGCTCGCTGAGCTTAGCAAGCGTTATCATCTCTGCTCTTTGTTCGCTGACGAGGTGAGTTGCCTCGTGAAATTTTTTTGTATGTGTTCATGTTTGAGACCACATAACAGGAATATTCAAATGACATAATTATGTGGAGAATGCAATAGCAGGCAGGTTGTCTAACTAAGCATCATAATTCATCTAGGCGAAATCTGATGATGGAAGGTGCAGCATCTAGTGCTGGAGAGCAACTGGTTGATTTGACTTCAAGAGATGGAGCCTGGTTCTTGGAGGAGCTTTGCAGCATGAGTGGGAATGTTACCTGCCTTGTGCAGTTGCTGAAGCAGTGTCATCTTGTACCCCAGGACTTAGATATTCCTAACCCAATTGAAGCATCAGAAGCTGTCCACTTAGCAAATGGAGTATATATCTCACTTCAGGTGATACTTAATTTTTATGTTACTTTTTGTTTCCTCATCCCCAACCTTCTAAGGCTTCAGCTAAGCCATTCTTAACAGCTTCTTCCTTAAACAGCTAAATGTTTGTTTACGATGCTGCTGAGATTCTTTTTGTTGGACCTTAGTCTTGATTGCTGTATTTGGCTGAACTGAACAGGCATTTGCTACTGTCATTTACATTTTTATTAGTTGAAAAGAAACCAATTTTGGTCTATACATGACAAATTGTAAAAACTGCTGTCAAGTAAGTGACCATGAGAAAGAAGTTAGTATCAGATTTATAAAAACACCAGCTTCATGTCTTGCTTTCATTCTTTTATTCTGTTGCTGGCAGTCCAGAACAACTTCCAGACTGTTTAATCTGTGCTCTTTCTGTTTTCTGCTCCTGTTAAACCTTACTTATTTTCACCTGAAACAAGTACTTTGAAACAAATTCTGAAAGCCTGTTTTACAGGTCCCTATCTCCAAGACTGGGAAGGAGAAAAATGCATTTCTAATTCTGTGTTTTAGAAATGTTTCCACTTTAATAAAGTAAAAAAACCCATTAGCGGCAGCTTGAGTAAAATATCTGCTGAAGACTTAGGTGGTTTATAAACTGTGGCTGGTATAAATAGCTTTTTGAGGCTTTTGGTTTGCCTGTACTGTATTTGAAAAATATTTTCCTACCAACTTGTGTAAGCACATTGAGATTTTCATCACTTTGAAGAGTGAAGAAACAAAGTATTAACATTACAGAAATTTTTCAGAAACATGCATGCAATTTCATTGAATTGCAGCTGAGATCTTTCACCCACACATTGTTGTCCTCTCTGTGAGCTCTTGGGTAAGATGTGTAGCTCACTGAGCAGTCAAGATAACTAATCTTTTTGGTGAGTCTTGTCTCATTTTGGAGACAGAGTCCATTGGTTGGTTCTTTCTGTAGCTGCCCTTAGCCCGGGAAAATTGTTTTATGCCACTGAAGGTACTGTTTTTCTTACCTGCATTGATTTCTGTGGCATGAATAGGACTTTAGCAAAATAATCGCTATCTGGCAGGTTTTTGGTTCTTTTCCCTTGCCTAGTCCAATCAGTTTAGCAAATCATGAATTCAGTAAATAATTTAACTCACTTGTTTATAGTTATGTAATGGAAAAGAAAAGGTACATAATTTGACAAAACTGATTTGCAAAGTGTGATCTCTGTACCATTAATCCTCTGCTGAGGATTGCTGTAAAGTATTGCTGCTGATGCTGTTGAGGTAGTTGTTGCTACATTGTGCAAATATCAAACCTTTTGGGTTTGTACAGGGTTTAATGTATTCCTGATTTCTTTAGATTTTTAAAAAAAAAAAAAGTAGATTTTGACCCTTGGCTGACCACCATCATGTTATCTTTCAGATAATATCTACCACAGGGTGGTGTAATACTAAAATGAGAAAGATGTTGCATATGATACTTTTCGAGAGGGGAAAATTTCTTATGTTTTCATACTTACTTCCCAACAGGAATTGAACTCAAACTTCCGACAGATCATTTTTCCTGAAGCGCTTAGGTGCTTAATGAAAGGAGAGTATACTTTAGAAAGTATGCTCCATGAATTAGATAATCTTATTGAACAAACAACTGATGGAGTCCCTTTGCAAACATTGGTTGAATCTCTTCAAGCCTACTTACGAAATGCTGCTATGGGACTAGAGGAAGAAACACATACTCATTACATTGATGTTGCAAGGTAAATCACTTTTTTTAGTTCAGGTGTGAGAGAATGAAGACTGCAGAACATCAGTTTGTCTAAATTTTATTATTTGTTTGATGTACAGGCTGTTCTTGCCCAAGAATACCCTTAAGGAGAGTGCAGTGTCTGAAGTACGCGCGTTTCCTCTCTGCGTGTTTGTGTGTTTATCCGCATGCATACATAGAAATGCAGAGCTATGGCAATTTACATTTACAGCTGCCTGAAGTCGACTTTTGGTAGTCAACTTTTTCCAAAATACGTAGCTGTAATTTTGTGTTTGAAGTTAAGGGATGCTGAAAATAGGAACTGGACCATTAGTTTGTGGGAGAAACCTGTGAAAGGGAGAGCTTGTAACCATGGCACTCCTCTCATCAGGAGGTTTGAGCAGCTTTTGCATGAATCAGTGACTTGATTAAAAAAAACCCCAAAACACAAACAAACAAAACCCAAACCAAATGAAAAGACTTGTGCATCTTGTAATGCAGGACAGTACGTTTCTGGGGAAGTGCTCAGTAGACAACTGAGCCAATTCAAAAGCTTCCTGCTAAGTAGAAGTGATCTTGCTGCTTCCCTTGAGCCACTTAAGATGGCTCCATCAGTGGTACAATGAAGGCTGCTGTACCAGTTGAAAACAATATACTTTTCTTCTGTTAGCTTAATTTTCTTCCTGGTTTACACATTGGCAAGCCTGCTCAGCCTGTTATTGAGGGTCAAAAGTGATATAAGGGAGGGACAGGACAAGACCACCCTTTCAGGAGTGGCAAGCTGTTAAACCATCTCAGCCATAACCTGAGACCTCATCTTCCACATTTTTAGCCTATACTCCAGTCAGTTATATACATATAACATGTATATGTTATAAAACCAGTACTTGGTTTTCAAGGAAGGAAAGGTGATATTGCATTACTTACTATTCGTAACTTTTTTACCATGCTCGTAGGAAGTACAGTCTGTATCCTCTACCTGTATTTTAAGTTAGCTTTGTAGCTGGTTCTTTAATACAGTCCCATCTTAAATGGTAACTAGCTGTTCTTATGAAACCAGCATTAGGATTCATGTGGTACATGGGGCACATAGGAAGAGCCTGCAAAAATTTCACCTTGTTCAGATGCAACTTAATTCCAATCTGCTGTAGCTGTGGGATCAATCAGTTTAAGAAAAACCTATTTATTTCTTGTAGATTAAGCAAAAACTTGTAAACTTTCTTCTTTTTTTTAGAGTACTTCATGCTCAGTATGGTGAGCTGATTCAGCCAAGAAATGGTTCAGTTGATGAAACTCCCAAAATGTCAGCTGGTCAGATGCTTTTGGTAGCCTTTGATGGAATGTTTGCTCAAGTGGAAACTGCATTTGGTTTATTGATTGAAAAGGTATGGATTTGTTCTTTTCAGAGTACTCTTAAGTCAGGAATATGAAAGTTTTACTAAAACAAAACTAATCTATTTCCTTTACATCACTCAGCTAAACAAGATGGAAATACCTGTTGCTTGGCGTAAGATTGACATCATTAGGGAAGCCCGCAGCACCCAAGTTAACTTCTTTGATGATGACAATAATCGGCAAGTTCTAGAGGAAATTTTCTTTCTGAAGAGACTGCAAACAATCAAAGAATTTTTCAGGCTCTGTGGTACCTTTTCTAAAACATTGTCAGGTAAATAAATGTTATCAAATATTCAGTATTGCTTTGTCCAATTCTCCACTTCTCATCCTGTGTCCTTTTGAGAAGAATGTATAATGGTTGCTTTTACTGTAACTTACTTTTCATATATGGCAAGTGTGCAAAAATTAAAAATTAATTCCTGTAATCTTACTGTGTTTATAAGTCAGATAATATTTTTCTGGATGCATCAAATGTTTTGTTTATCACAAAAATACTTTTCTTTCCTTTTAAAAGGAATCAGTTCACTTGAAGACCAGAATGCAGTAAATGGACCTGTTCAGATTGTCAATGTGAAAGCCCTTTACAGAAACTCTTGTTTTAGTGAAGACCAAATGGCCAAACCAATCAAGGCTTTTACAGCTGACTTTGTGAGACAGCTTTTAATTGGCCTTCCAAATCAAGCTTTGGGACTTACTTTGTGCAGTTTCATCAGCGCTTTGGGTGTTGATATCATTGCTCAGGTAGAGGCTAAAGACTTTGGAGCGGAAAGCAAAGTTTCTGTGGATGACCTGTGCAAGAAAGCTGTGGAGCACAATATCCAAATTGGCAAGTTCTCACAGTTGGTCATGAACAGGGCAACGGTATTAGCTAGTTCATACGATACAGCATGGAAGAAGCATGATCTAGTGCGCAGACTTGAAACCAGTATTTCATCTTGCAAGACCAGTCTTCAGAGAGTACAGTTGCATATTGCTATGTTCCAGGTAAGATTGCATGTTATTTCTCTTCAAATTGTGGCTGTGGAAAGTGAGCTTTAGTTACTGTGTCTGACCACAAGAGCTTTATGTTTTGTTGCATGAGCTCTAGAGTACTTTAATGGACTTGATAAAGTATTTTGGTTTTAAATTATTCTGTAAATGTATAAGGAAAAAGAAGTGTTACAGTTAGCTTCTTTTGAAGACTAGCTGCTTTATAAGATGCAAATGTGGCAATATGTAAATTCTTTTTTGAGTCAGTACATGCAATTTTTTTCAATAACCATTAAGTCATTTATTAGAGAAGAAGTAATTCACTGGCTTTCTTATTAGCAATGTTGTCTCATTCTCTCCCTTTTTTCAAACAGACTATGACTTTAAGGGCGGAGATTGCTTAAAACAGAGGGTGTGCATTGCTGAACATTATCTTGTACCTTTCCTTCCAAGTTTTAATGCATTAACTGTCTCCTTGCTCCACTGTTTGCCTCATGAAAAAATATAGATAGCAGCAGTATCAATCCTGAAAATGTTCTTCTGAGGCTTTAGATAAATGCCATTGTGTACCTTAAACTGTATGCTGGTATCCAGTTGTATTGTAGTATCATTGATCTTCATTTTGTAGTGATTTATAGGTTAAGGGTAAAGGCTTTCTCCATGTCGGTTAATAAACCATTTCATAGACTGGTAAGCAAAATTGTCTTGGTTTTAATGCATCACAAGTGAATTGTTTCTGAATGTTGGTGGGTTTTCCTTTAGATCAAGGAAATGTGCATAAATCACTTCTGGTGAGTTAATGACTAATTAATGGCACAAATATCCAAGCCAGCAAAACCTAGTTTACGATTACTTATATAATTTCTAATGATTTAGAACTTTTAAGCATGCCATTATTGTCTGACACCCAGCTCTTTTAAAATGCCCTTACTTATAAAGTGTACCAGAGTACTAGAATTGCTGTTTGTGAAGCAAAGTATTTTGTGCTGAGCAATATTGATAATCAAGTGTTCCCATTATTTTCTTAAAGTGGCAGCATGAAGATCTCCTAATCAGTCGCCCACAAGCTATTTCTGTTAGTCCTCCACCTCGATCTGCAATTTTAGCCAGCATGAAAAAGAAACTTCACACGCTCAGTCAGATTGAAGCTTCAATTGCAGCAGTCCAGGTACTGCTATTTTTGGGAGGTTTGTTTAGCAGCATATTGGAATGTGACTCTAACACAAATGGCAAAATTATCTGCCACCTCCAGATTATGTTACCTCTCTTGCTATCGGAGCACAAATTTAGTGGTATTTTCATTGATCTGTTTCAGTCTGTCTGATGTATGTTGTTACACTGATTTTGCTGTCTCATACAAAATATTGTCTCTGGAATATCAGTATCTGTTTCATGAGTGAAAATACAACTATGTGAAAGTACCTGTCCTTCTGAAGGCTGATCATGCTCCGATTCTTTAAGTTTGTCTGACTTGGATCATCCTTAGTATCATTTTACTAGCTAAGTGTCAGAAGCTTCCTTTGTAGATTTGGGCAAATCAATTATTCTGTGTGTTAAGGTTTCTGTGTACTGTGGCTTGGCTCTGCTTTTTAGACTTTTGGGTATCAGTAATATAGAATGTTTAATTGTTTAAAATAAATACTGCTTAGCTGCTTGAATTTCAATTTTCTTTTTAGTTGTGAAGGTACTGTTTGTAATCATTTTTTGAAGATCACTTGTAAAATAATTCAGGAGTCCTATGATTTTATATAACTTTTCGTCTAGAAATGTGATTACTTTTAACTTGCTTCTGTATTTTTTTTTCTAGTGGGTTAAAATCTAGACAGGTGATTTTATTTCCATAACAATCAAATCCAGTTGTGATGTGTACTTGAAAATAAACCTTTAAACAGCATAAGCTAACATTTGTAAATCATGAATACCACATTCTTTTATATATATATGGGTATAAGAATGTGTCTGCATGTGTTACATATGCCTAATTTTTTTTTTAAGTTAGGCAGTTAGGCTTAAGATGATATATATATATGTATGTATGTATTATCTGTATCTATGTTTTTTTTTTTTCTTCCCTAATGCAGGAGAAACTAGCAGCACTTGAAGCAAGTATTGAGCAGCGTTTAAAATGGGCAGGAGGTGCTAATCCTGCACTGGCACCAGTCTTGCAAGATTTTGATGCCACTATTGCTGAAAGAAGAAACCTTGTACTGAAAGAAAGTCAAAGAGCAAGTCAGGTACTATACATAAGTATAGTACTGTTGACTCAATAAATGTATTCACACTGTATTTCCTACTTGAGATTTATGTAGAAGATATGTTTCCTCCTCAGCATCTCAAGAGCAAAGATAGATAAGCAAATACTTCTGGGAATCCCACTTTAAAAGCAATATGAATAACCTCTGGGAGAATTGCTGCAGGGTTGGATGACCCTGAAATGATACTGCTACTGTAACAGAGTGGCTTTACTGCTGTATTTCAAATTCTCCCTTCTAAGGACATGGAACAAATGCAGTTTGTATAATAGACAGTTTAATTGGAATAATTTTTCTCACTCTTCCTTTGATTTTCAGGTCACTTTCCTCTGCAGTAATATCATTCATTTTGAAAGTTTACGTACTAGAACAGCAGAAGCCTTAAATCTTGATGCTGCATTATTTGAACTTCTGAAACGCTGTCAACAAATGTGCTCATTTGCGTCACAGTTCAACAGTTCAGTTTCTGAGCTGGAACTTCGCCTGCTTCAGAGAGTGGTAAGTAAAGGTCAAAGCAAAATATGTAACATTACAGAATTGCTGTAATTATGAGTTCTCAATTTTGTCTTTCATTCTAAATTAATGTTATGTATACCTTCTAATAGGTTGTGGATTACAGAGTTTATTCCATCAGCTGCTAAACACTTGGCAGTAGCATCTACACAGTAATTGAATTTTATCTCTGGATATAGATACAAAAATGTCTCTGTTATTTTTAGGGCACTGGTCTTGAACATCCTATTGGCAGCTCTGAATGGCTTCACTCAGCTCACAAGCAGTTGACCCAGGAAATATCTACACAGAGAACAGTACAAACAGAAAGAGAACAGCAAATAGAAACAGTTTGTGAAACAATTCAGAATCTGGTGGATAGTATTAAAACTGTACTCACGGGTCATAACAGACAACTTGGAGATGTCAAACATCTACTGAAAGCTATGGCAAAGGTATGCCTAAAACTTCATTAATTTTATTCCTCAAACTCATGTCAGTATAGTTTAAGAAAAATAACACTTGTAACACTGTGCTTTTTACAGTGTGTAGAAACAGTGAAATGTGTTCATGCATATGGAGTTCAAGACATAAAATTCATTCCATCCCTATGAATTCATAAAGCTTTATTTCTAGAGTTAGGCTAATCAGGCTTTGGTTGAATTAAGCTGCTTCTCTCATTTGGCAGTTGAAACATTTCCTTTGTGTTTACAAATCCTCTTGATTTTTAATCAGTAAAACATTTGGTCTTTTTCACATTTATTTTCTTGACATGTAACTACTGAAAATTATGATTATTTGCAGTCAAATGACAAGCTGAGGGGCTGAAAAGGCTAAGAAATGCTCACCTTCATTCTCTTAGCCAAAATACAGCAAATGGTTAACCTTTTTGCACATCTTTGTTACAGGATGAAGAAGCGGCTTTGGCAGATGGTGAAGATGTTCCCTATGAGAATAGTGTTAGGCAGTTCTTGGGTGAATATAAATCGTGGCAAGATAATATTCAGACGGTTTTGTTTACATTAGTTCAGGTTATGGGTCAAGTCCGCAGTCAGGAACATGTTGAAATGCTGCAGGAAATAACTCCCACCTTGAAAGAACTAAAAACACAGAGCCAAAGGTAAGAAAGTCACCTTCTCTTGGGCAAGGTCATTTTGCTTATCTACTTGGATATAGCAGAAACACAGCATGGGGTACCTCCTTGGTGGTTGTCTTAGAATGCAGAGATCTTCTTGCAAAATTTGACTTCACTTTCTTTTTGAGTTTTCCATAAGTCAAGTAGTCGCATGAATATTTACCAACTCCATTATGTCTCCTAGTGTCTACAATAATCTAGTGGGTTTTGCATCACCCTTAGTCACGGATACATCAAATGAATGCTCAAGCCCAACGTCAGCTGCTACATATCAGCCAACCTTTGCTGCAGGTAATACTTGAAAAAGTACAAACATTAAAACACCACAAACTGATATTAGAGAGTAGATCATAACTTTTAATAAATTTTGAAATACAGATGATCTCTACAGCATTATAAAAGCCTATAAAATTCAAGTCATTCAGTATACAATACTGAATGACCACTTGATCATAGCCTTTGAGGTCTGTATTCACTCCACAAAGCCCAGAATACATGAAACACATTGTCATATCAACTGAACTGTAATTTCTGTTGAAATTAGGATTAAGTCCAAAGAATTTAGTTCCAAAATTTTAATACTGAAACCCTGCAAATGCATTCATGTTTGCAAAATTTTCATTACTTTACAGTTAAAAACATGAATAAAGTTTCTCATGAACATGGATTTCTTTCTGTTTAAAGGATTATTCTACCGTCAATATTTGGACTAAGTGCAGATTCCTGATTTCTATCAAGAACAAGAATTGCATTTTATAACTGCCATACGAAATGATAGAATTAGAGCATAAGAGAGCCCATAAAAATTTGCTTAATGTAAATAAATGTTTTGCAATGGAACAAAACCTCTTGTTTATGAAGTTAAAGACATTATAAAACAGAAAGATTGAAGAGAGAAGAACTGGTGTGGAGTTTAAAATACAAGTATAAAATGCATTTGTACTGAAGTACTGATTGCTGCATCTCATGCACATTTAACTGTGCTTTTTCTTGCACCTGTAATTATATTAGTTTGAATACTTAAGCGCTTTTAAACTTTCTTTACAGCTGTACGTAGCAATACAGGGCAGAAAACTCAGCCAGAGGTGATGTCACAGAATGCAAGAAAGCTAATTCAGAAAAATCTTGCCACGTCAGCAGATACTCCTCCAAGCACAGTCCCAGGAACTGGCAAAAGTGTTGCCTGTAGTCCCAAAAAGACTGCCAGGGACCCGAAAACAGGAAAAGGTAAATACAGGCCTTAAAAAACCCCAAAAACCAACCAGAAAAAAAACCACTGCTGAGAACAACAAAAAACCCCAAATCACCTCAGTGGGCTTCTGGGCAGGAACGTAAAATGGAACTAATTTTATTTTGTACCTTTAGCTGTGCAGGAAAGGAATTCATACGCAGTTAGCGTGTGGAAGCGAGTCAAAGCCAAGTTAGAGGGCCGAGATGTGGATCCCAACAGGAGAATGTCTGTTGCTGAACAGGTGAGTCGAAAATAGTAAAGTTCCAGTACCGGTCCTTGCTTTAAATATTTGGTAGTAAGCACGTGTGTATGCATGCTGAAGTATGTCTTAAAGACTAAAATCCTATTGTGAATGGGGGGGTCCCTTTTTGAGATGTGTGATTTATATTCCAATGCAAATCGAGGTATGCTGCTGCCTTGTATTGCTGCATTCTGTTTTTTTATCAAATGCTTTTGTTTCTATATTGTAGATTTATATTAACTCGTGAATTGGATAAAATCGCCTTTTGTATATCAGTAAACTAACATTTGTTACACAGCTGTTGATACCCAGGGAGAACATGAGATCTGTACAGCTGTCTAAAGGACAGAACTTGTCTGTGTTCATTAACATAGCACAACCACGCTCCTGTCTCTGGGAGATTGAGTCAGTGGACCCAGATGTCCATGCAAATTTGGGAATGCTGTGACTATTTTCAAGATAGGGGTTATGAATGAGGTGGTGCATGATCTTCTCTTTTTGCTCTTCCAGTACGAATTCCTATTTCTTATGTGGACTACACAAATTCTGTAAGATTAAGTTTATATTTACTATAGATTTTTTCACTGAAATTTTGTATTTGCAGGTGACATTCAACAGTAAATTTTAAGATCACTTAAACACTTTTAAAAATCTAGCTTATTTTTAATTACTTGTTTGACCTTTTTAATAGGTTGACTTTGTGATTAAGGAAGCAACTAATCTAGATAACTTGGCTCAGCTGTATGAAGGTTGGACTGCCTGGGTATGAGTAGGGAGCAAGCAGATCAGTCTGGTTCAGCGAGGTCAGACGTCCACCAGAATCAACTCGGCCTCAGGCATCCATAGCCGCACCACAGTCGGTGGTGATGCATACTGGGGCTTAATCTGAGGAAACCTAGGAAATCTCGGTGCACTGGGAAGTGAATCCTGCAGGATAGCTGCACTCAGGGATACGCTAAACACAATGGTCTGCAACCCCCACGGTCAAGGGTGAAAGCCCACCGCTTGAACAACACGGTTTGTCTTTCTGCTACGGAAGAACTGCAAACGTGTCTGGGGGTTAGCTGCAGAAAGAAATCGGGATGCTACAAACCGCAGAGTGATTTGGAACTCAATTCCACCTGACCCTGTGAACAATTCAGGAAACACCGAACCCTGTTCAAAGGAAAACAGAAAAAATGGGGCCATGAAGAAATCACAGCAAGGGAAGATTTGATGCATTCAGATTCTTGTTACTCTTGTTGCGTGGCAACAGTGCTGGTTGAGTCGACCAGTTAGTATGGAAAAAGGCTACAAAATGTAAACTTCAGAAATGGACTGAAAGCAAAGAGCTGTACATCAGATATACGCTGCATTGGAAGAACTTCTGAGATAGAAGAAAAAGCCTTTGTTCTCTTCTCCCTGTCCTCTTTCCTTTCTCTCCTCCCTCCCAGCCTCTCCCTGCAGACACCCCTCTTGGCTTATTCTTGTAGGTTAGGCGTACTTCCAATATACCTTTTATTTCAATCCTTCTACTTCACAGTTTAGTCATATTAACAACTTAAATTTTGTTTGGTAAACAAATTTTCCAAAAGCACTGAAAATATAGAACATCAATGATAACTTATGAGTTGGATGGTCAAATGCAAAATGTAATTTTGGTTATTTTAAAGTCATTTCTGTGATTCTATTATGTACAGTTTCTCAAAATTGTCACTGTGCATTTAAAAAGTAATGAATCCTACAGGCATTTGATTTAATGTGCACTTCCCTCTGCTTGCAGTGTACACTTTTTTGTAATTCAAATTGTCCCTCCAATCTCATTCTACTGTGATTGCTGTAGTTTCTTTCGTACGACGTAGCTAATCCAATGTAATCTGTACCTTTTTAAAAAACAGGATAGAGTATCTAGTAGAGTTTTACATTGTTGATGACAGATAAACAATAAAGTGATGTTCTGGTGGAGGTAGAGTGATATGCTTTTTACTTCACTTTCCTAATACTTTTAGTTTCCACTTGTAAATTATAGTGCTTCAGTTCACAGGGGTATACATATAATCCAAGAAATGAAGGACTCTCCAATTTTTGTTCAATTAGATCTGTAAAGATTTCTGCAAAGTAATTTTCCTTTGCCATATTACTTCTACAGATGGTTGTTCAATAATGCATCCATAATGAATCTTCCACCAAGGTTTTTTGTGGCTTTTTTTTTTTAATCAATTCTGCACTCAAAGTGTGATTATGGTCAGAAAAGTCTCTCTAAAAATGGCATCATCTTACTTAGACCGATGTCCTGCTTGTCTGCTGGTTGTCTAAAAGACTACTTGCTTCCTTTTTGAAGTGGGACACCTTTAGGAAAAGGCAGCTTCCTTTCTTAGAGCAAATAAACCTAACACAATTCAGTTACAACTACAGAACCTTACAGGTGCTGGTAACTAAAGCAGAAATGTACACTGGTGTTCTCAAACCAGATAAATTTGCCTAGCTATGTATAAAAAGTTTCTCTTTTGTAAACTTGATGAATTCATTACGCACAGTTGCTGAAAAACAACAGACGCGGGAAGATCCTTTATGCCATTTTAGTCACTTTTCAGAGTAAAAACACACTTTAAATACAGCATTTTTTCAATCAGAATCTAAGTATTAAAGGATTTGAGCCAAGTCCACTACTGGCATAAAACTCATTTAATTGAGTGGATTTGCAGCAGTTCATCTGAGTAGAAAGCTTGGCTAGTAGTCAGATAACATAAATTAACACCAGGCATAAGTAATAGACAAACTTGTATTATTTTCAGTATTTGCACTATGCTAACTGCTCTGCCTCCTCAGTAGGTCTTAGAATTCACTTTCTCCTCTGTTGCCAATTTTTCGTGGACATGCACTTTGAAGTGTAAGAACTTTCAACAGACACATGGCCTTTGTTGCATTCTGATTGCCTGATTAACTCTAGGGAAGTCACAGGCTTTATACCGAACGATACCCATGCAAACGCATTCCACTGCCATTGCTTCCTGAACCCTCTGCCGCGCCATGCATTGCAAGAAAGGTGTTTGAATGTTGCAGTGAAGAACATTCATATGCAGAACAAGACACTTGACGCTGTCGGTCCTTTTTATTTTTCTCCAGTTAAAAATAACCTTATGAACAATCTGTTTGGAGTACCATGGTAACAAGAGTGTATTATACATGCTGTTTTATTTCTTGGAAGCTGGGGGGAAGGGAGGGGTAATGCACTCACCTGTGGCTCATGTATTATACCTCTGCTGTCCAGAAATGAAACACTTGTGTGGAGATGGGTTCTTACTGCGTAATTTAATAAAGTTTTAAAAAAAAAAAAAAAGTAGTATTCATAATTTCCTTGTATGCAAAACTACCTGTGGTTGTGAAAATTACGGGGGAGAATAAAATGCCAAATATAAACAAATACAAAACAAATCCCAAATTAGAGCAGGATTCTAGAGGGACTTAAATTTGCATGACTAATGTTGAGGAGACAGCTCACATGCTTAGGAGTCAGTGGGACTGTCAGCTTGTGTGTGCTGATGCATTTTCCTTGGTATGTGTTGACAATACAGCAAACGGGTACAGTCTTGGTTAAACCCAAAATGCAGATTATCTCTGTGCATCTTGCATATTAAATAAGATGGTATTAGTTACGTTATCTTTTTCTAAAAGATAATGTGTTTCTTATAAAGACATAAGGTTACTTCATTTTTTTTTTTCAGTAAGACTGAGACATTTACTGCAGAAAAAAAGTAAGACAGATTTGAAATAATGCAAATCTAGAATCAAATTTTGTAAATACTTACAAATCAGCTGAAGCTATAGAAGTCAAATCATTCTGCTGATGGCAATTGTTTTGCATGGTGCTCACACACAGTTAAGTGTTAACCAAGGGATCATGCTATAAACTAATTTCTCGAAGTCACATTGAAAATACGCTCATCGGTTTTCAGTTGTTACCCCCCCCGCCCAGTTACATAGGCTAGTGGTTGAGATGCTCTTAACCCTTTGGAAATCCAGTCACTAGTTTGCCTGTCTTCCCGCTCCCCTCTGTGAAGCCAGGATGTGAACACTGCTCTACCAAACGGGTTACTGAGATGTGTTAAGCAAACTGGAGTCATTAGTGGCGTCTTAGGTTATTTTGGTGGAATAATGGCAGTGTCAATGTAATATAATTGAAATTATAACAGATGTGTGCAGTTAAATTATTTTGGTGCTTTGCAGGGACTTCGTGGTGTGGTTTTTTTTCTTTGCAACAATTAGTTTTGCCTTCAGTCATTAGTTATTTAAATAGTAATATGTTTTGTCTGTAATTTTTTCAAATATCTGTAAAAGACTCAATTCTCCCATATAAATCAGAGGGAGGGAGCTAGTTTTCCAAGGAAAAATGAAGCAGGCATCTATAAAAGCACTGGCGACACTTAAATGCTAGTGCGAGGTCACCTTGCGTGGGAAAGGAGGGTGCTCCACTGCACAACCTCCGGTGTGGAGCAGCCATCCGCTGGGGCCCTGTGACACCACCTCTGATAAACTGAACTGATCAAATAATGTTTATCCTGTTAACTGCTTTGTGATGCCTGATTGAAAAGCACCATATAAAAACATGACTTCAGAAATACTGGAGGGGATTGGAGAAGTTAAAGCTTCATTTTTTGAAATCCTGTGGTCCTTAAGGTTAACTTGCTTCAATTATTCATCAGTGTGTTCTGTGCCTAGTACGTCTGGCCATCCTGTTTTAACACGCTCAAGTACTTAAAAGATTTCTTTGCACTTTTTTCCCCCCTTTCTTATTTTTGCAAGCTTTTCCTAAAATGGGTAGACACACCCCTTAATGCATTAAAGAGTTAGACTAGAAAAAAAGTTTAAGATGACACCTGCCATCCATCTTTTGCTTTCTTAATACACTACCCAATTGTCACACGTATATATTTTTTTTTCTTTAGTGGAAAACAGTTATTGGTGAGTATACTGTTAACATTTTAGTTAAAGAATTTCCTTGAAAATACAGATATTACACAAAATTACTGTTGTATGTACTTAAATGCATAGCTGATTCAAGCAATTTTGCCATCCATCAAATTTTTTATTAATAGTATAAGAAAAAAGTTTGAGATGCATTTATTATATTAGGTATGATGAGTGGGTAGAGGCTTAACATTTAAAATTTGTGTCTCTGTTCTAACCGCATAGAGCACTTAAACTGCTCCTTGTGAAGTTAGCTTGGGCATTTAATTTTATGTGCATCTGCTAAGAGGGAATCTCAGCGTAGGGAGAATGCATCACACTGCAGCATGATCTGTGTCATACGCTGAAGCATACAGAAAACAATTGGCTTTCTATAGCTCAGGTAATGTATGGGAGGTGATTAATAGTTTTCCACGCTGAGCTACTGCTATTACCATTCTCTGCCTTCTACATTAGGGTTCTGATTTTAACAACCAAATTTATAAACATATATATGTATACACACACACCTTTTTTTCATTTTACGTTGTGCTTCAAAAGGCCTGGCTGCTCAGGGAGGGGGGTGCCGAGTAGTGTGGCAGGGCCCTGCGCTGTCCCGTTCCAGTAGCGCGATGGCACTCCTCCTCTGGTGTTTCTGGGCAGTGAGGGCATCCTGCAAGGCTCGCTTTTCCCTCTGCCCCTCTGAGTTCCGGAGAAACGCTTAACACGAGGGAACTGCACCTCTGTGGGCCCTCTGGGATGGGAGAAAAGCTGTAGCAGTAGACCGATCTGGGAGCTGGCATTTGAAAGACTAGCTGGAAGATAATGAATCTGACTGTGGCTGGAGATGATGGAAATACCTGCTTTTTTCATTGGTAAGTGCTCGTGTTTGTGGTGAAAAGCATATAAATGGATGAAACCAGGAGCTGGCTGATTGTATCGAATAGCCGGAGAGGTGGCTTCTGCAGGACACTGCAAATACTCCTAGAACACCAATGCATCGTGCTTCTGCGTGTGTCCGTACTTCCTCCAAAGACTAATTATTGCTGGCATCGCTTCCCTATGAAATTAGCTTTTGTTTGAGCTTTGCTGTGGTGCAATTATGGATTTTGAGGGTGGACTCCATGATTTTGAAGTGCAAAAGGGTACATAAAAATACTCTTAGCTTTTGGCAACATGTAAATGAACTTGAAAGTTGTTCAGTAAAGTATCTATTCTTTACATACAATCTTGAATGAGTCTGAAAAGCACCCCGTAAAAGATCAAACAATTCAGTACAGACATGTTTTTCCTTTTACAGTATCACCCTTAGTCCTCTTTTTCCTCCTCTCCGTCAAGCTGGTGAGCTGGGTTGGAGAAGTATTGCATTTTTGGTGCCAGAAATGATGGTTTCTTTGCCCTCATTTTGGAATTGTATTACATCCTAGGGATTGTGATTAAGCTCATTAACATGTGTGACAAACATTTAGGAAGTTGAGTGAGAAAAAATATTTCTATACTAGTGCTTTTCTCCTGTGTTTATTCTAATGCTGCTACAGCTTCTGAAAAAAATAAAGCAAGTAGTTGGACGGATGGTAATTATTATAGGTAGGTCAGGCAGTGGTGGTGTTCTGAGCTGGAGAACTTCCCTGCGAAGCTCGGAGTTGTTTCATCGGTTTCCCGTGTGGTAATCCGGAAATCCCGTACCCACGGATTCTGCTGTCTACAGCTGCCAGGCTGCCTGCTTCATGTCGGTCACATGCAGTAAATACCTGTGCTGGAAAAACAGCAAAACTTTAAGTCAAAGAAAGTTTGTTGGCGAGTGCCTCCGGTGCTGTGTTCTTGCAGCACTAACGGGCTATATATTAGCCTTGAAACGTTCTCCATCAAAAGGCTCTGTCCAGCTCATAGGACAGGTACATGCATGACGTATGTCAAGAAAAGGTAAAATTTTTTTTAGACAGCACATAATCTTTTACATATTTGGCTCCTAATAATCACACGTTCAGGTTGTATGGGTCAGGCTTTTCAAAATACAA